TTGGACACCGGCACCATGGACACCAACAAACCTCAGGCGACAGAAAAGTCTCACTCATTTCAACTCTCATGGAACCGATATGGAACTGATATGGAACCCAGAAACTGCCTTTTTTCCACCGCTGGACAGCTGTTCCTCGTCCTGGTAAAATTCCCTCGGCTTCAGCTTCAAGTCCTGGCCTCCTCTGGTGCGGTTGGGGAAGAAGGGATGGATGTTCGATCCGAATCCTTAGCATGCGGAATATTGAATCCTCGTGCTCGGAAGGTCATGTTTGAGCCACAAGCTTCCTTCAAGCCCTCTTTGTGCCTGAGGCGGGTCAGGTCAACAACCGGACTAAGAATCCAATACGGGTGCTACATTCACGGCCAAAATGTTTCTTGTCTTTTCTCTGATGTGCGAGGGCTGGATCAATTTATCAACATCAGAGACCAAGGGCAAGCCAGAAGCATGAAGAATTTGGCTGATAAATCTGAAACCAAATCCCCCAAAGAGTGAAACCAAATCATTAAGGCTCAGGCTTCAAGCAAGCTCCCCCCCCACCTGAGCCTTCAGTGAGGGGAGCTTCCTTGAAGCCTGAGCCCTGCACCTGGCGCCTAGTAGGGCTAGCTACTTAAACCGCACCTATCAGCCTGCCCCCTCCTTTTTTCCTTGTTTCTAACAGCAACGGCCTCCAACCTAATACAAGCAAAATTCATCCTAAGAAAACAACTTTCAGGATCATTGGAGTTTTCTTTCTTTCAAGGCTTCCCTCAAAACTCAAAACCCTCATTACAAGTTTAATCATGCCGACATCCGCCGCACCTGACACCATTCGAATGATCATCTAATCTCCCTTGTTTCGGCCTGCAAACAGTTCGCATACAAGCTGAGGGGTTCAAAAGCCCATCATTGGGGATGAGAGTACAAATGCAGAATAAGTGAAACACTACTTTTTTGGTGCCAAACCTACGTGACAAAGATCTGTTTTAACATTTGTGCTTGAGAGAGGCAAAAAGCGAAAAAGCCCTCCTGACAAGAGAGGCATCCTCCTCGATCTTGGTGTGGGCTGGAGGCCTTGGACATTCTGGTCGTCCAAGAGCCCTCTTCAAGAGCCAGAGCCCACGAAGCATCCAAACGCGGCAACGAGGATCTGGAAAGAATCGACAATGAGGATCGTTTGGATTCAAGGTGATGACGTGGCATGAGTTCTGCCAATTGTTGTAGCTCTAGCTCTTGGAACGATCAACCACCTGATACTTACTGCGCATGACCACCAGGTTGATTTAGGCTCAGGCATGCCATTGGACGCTGACATTTTGATGCTCTCCACCTGTCTTGCATGTAGATACTGAAGCTCATCCAATCAAAGCTACCCACATAAACTGAGTGTTGGAGAACACATTGTGTGCGTCTGATCCTGATCTCTGCAAGTAGGCTCCAAGCTTATCTGAGCTAACATACCGAAGCGACAATAATGACGACACAGCCCGGATCTTCGACCTCTTCCTGCATCTCAGAGTTCACCCAGTTTGGCCTCGCAAGCCCGGTCCATCTTACGCCAATTCACAAGCCCTGAGTCGAAATACACTTGATACAGGCCGGGGTCAGCTGGTTTGTTCTCAGGTGAAACCGTGAAACCCTTTTATATCACTTTGCTGTGGCACTTCAAAAGCGTTTCAGGTCGCCTGGTCTCGGACCTCAGGCTTGGCACGTTCGGTGTTCCATCCACCTGGGCGTGGTTGCACAGCCAATGGTCATGGCAAACGCGAACAAACGCCAGACTCTGGGCCTCCAGTTCCATCCCGAGCTAGACATCAGGGGAGAAAAACAAATCAAAAACGATCAAAAACGCCCAACAAGACAGGCAGCTGACCTCAGCTGACCTGATCTGACACCAAAAAGTTACATTGGCATCAAAAGTCATTGAGAAGTAAGAACCCCCAAAAAGCTTTCAGCTATCTGGGGAACAATCAAACGACCTTCCAGATTTTTCACAACTGGGACCTCCGACTCTTGGAAGGTCCACCACTAGGCAGGTGCAGTTGTCGTCGCTGCGCCGTGCAACAGCCTGGTGAATGCAGCTGGACGTCAATCCCCTTCAAGGCAAACCAATTATTTTAAAAAAATACCAACTTGCCGTGCTTGGGCGCGGGAAAGTTCGGATTTTCCAACATGCTGAAATGGCTACACCGTGTCACTAGATACTGCTTGAAGCGTCGGTTTTCTCTGTGTTGCTCAAAATACCTGAGGGCCTTGCAGAGCAAACGATCGCGTGGGAAAGACTGGAAAGCGGAGCAACAGGCGGTAGTTGACTCGCTGTAGCCACACACCTGGATGCGAAGTTTGTGACTGTTTGTCTTGCTTGCATGTAATCTTGTGCGACAATCTGTGTATCTTCTTGATATATCAATCTGGGTTCAGTGACAGGGAGACCACTTCTTGTGATGACCTGGCCAAAGCTAAGAACCAAAAATCTGCCAAAAAAATCGTTCTGATCAGAAAATCACATCACAGGGGAGCTCGAGAGCTGTGTATGAACAGTGTTTGCAGAATCATCGAGAACTCGGAGATCTGAGATCACTCTATGATCTTTCTGCCATGAAAATGTATGAACATTTTAGTTTCTCAGGGGTCAAAGCCAAGTGAAGCTGAAAAGGCGGAAAATAAAATACCAGCAGGGTCTTTCAAGGCCTTCGGCGGCCTTGAAAAGGGCCTTTCAAGGCGCTCTCTGATTTCGCCGAGCGACATAAAGCCGAAGACGCCATCCGAGGCTAGCAGCAGGAAGCGCTGTTCGGGGCGTCGCCTGAAACGAGAAGCCGAAGTCTCTACCGGTGGAACCGGTGTTGGGCGTCTCTGGGTGTCCAGGCGGTATGCTTCGCACCTCTGGAATGGCTGTGATGATGTGCTTCTCAGGAGGCCCCTGATGAAGTCCAGTGCGCAGCTGAAGGATTTTGTGACATGCCTGGCCTGTTGCTTGGCCCAGGCATCTCCAAACGCTCGCGTCGTAGCCTCAACTGCTTTCTTGAGCATAAGGGCAGCCCCCCAATATGTTCGATCTGCATACAATACTGCCAAGTGTCTGGGGTTGCTAGCAGTTAGCATGGCTGCTCCAGTGTCCTTTTATGTTGCACTTGTCCAAAACACCCTTTATAGCTACCGTGGCTGGCTTGCATCAGAAAAGCCTAGTGGGGATAGGAAAGGTACAGCAAGGTTCCCCAAAAAACTAGGAACCACATGAACAGTGCGAGCGCTTCTTCAAGGAAGCTCCCCCCGCCCTCAGGCGGGGGAACCTTCCTTGGAGAAGCGTGAGCTATCCTGAGTCCATATGTAGAAGCTTAAGTAGCTAGGAGCAATCACGTTTGTCCCTTTTTAATTAAGCAGGCGCCTACATAATTAAGTAAGGGTTAGGGTGGGCTAGAAAATACAAGCAATATCTGCTGACAGGCTAGTATTTCTTTTAGGTTGGTGGCCATCAGAAAGGCTGGGGCGCGGGCCAAGCGCCCAGGTGCACCCGCAATGGTGACACGCTGGTCAGGAGTGATGGTACCTTCGCCCAGTGCTGTCATGAAACAAAAGACAGGCACTTGAAACATCTTGGAAACGTACCAGCATGCTAGTTAGCCCAAAAGCACACTTGGAAGGTGGTGCAGTGCTACCAAAGCCAAACAACATGTACAAAGTAGTGCTGCCCATGCAGAGATGGAAGGTTCGGTACCACCTGCCGCCAGCACGCGCCGGAGCTCCTGCATGCAAAGCGACTGGCTCGCTCTGACAAAGGAACAAAAGAAGGCAAGCAGGCAGCTCCAAGTCATCACTACTCACAACCAACAGAGAGCCAGAGGGGGAGAGTGAGAGAGAGAGAGAGTGAGAGAGAGAGAGAGAGCAATATCCTATATCCTTGAAAAGGCCAATTATATGTCAGATCTACGAATCTACTTGTATTCTCTGTGAGATGCGCTTCCTTGCTTGCTTTGGGCAAAGCGTTTCGTTACTGAAAGTCTATTTCAGTCGTTGTCCCGTCCTCCGGCGTTGCGTTCTGGACGTTGTGGTCGGAAGAGAGCTCTTGAGCGGCTCCCTGCTCCTCCAAGACCTTCATCCAAGCGAAATGCCACGGCACATCTACCACCTCCTTCATGTGATTGTGCTGGTTGTTAATTTGCGGCCCAAAAGCTCTATAAGCAATGTGCATTTGGCCAACTAAGACGAGCAAACATTCAAGACACATGGGCCATATGGGATCTTGTGGCACCGTCTTGGTGGACTTCATGAAATTGACAGGATCACAGTCACTTCTTGTGCGTCCCTGCGCATCTGCAGTCACCACAGTTGGCCACAACGATGTTGTGTCGGGAGACCTTGGTGCAAAGCATTGCGGAACCAAGGATTCTTTTGAAAGCTGAAGATAATGTACAATGTACATAGTACCATCTTGCCCAAAGACAAGCCTTTTCAACAAGCAAACACCGAAATACTGCTCAAGCATTGCATTTCCCTCACCATAGTTTGAGGATACTCCTTGGGAATGAGCACCTCTAAAAACACTTCACATGTCCCAGCTTCGAGCATTTTGGAAAAGTTTGGCATGTCGCCAACACCATCGTTCTTTCTCTGAGGTTTCAACTGCTGCAGCTGAAACGCAGGCTCCTGACGCCCAAAGCGGCAAGCCTGCGTAGGCAAATCCACAGTGCGTAAAGGCACCAAGCTTACGTCTTGTGAACTAGGCATAGCCGGGCACACTATGGGACTACATTTCTATACATATATATATATATGATTATATATGTGTGTGTGTATGTGTGTGTTCTATCAAAGTAGCCAAACACAAAAGATTTGCAACATCCCATGTCCAGTTACTGTGCACGGTCTGACAAAAACCAGAGCTAGCCTTTTGCTTGCTTTTGCGGCAGAAACGCAGCCAACTTCTTGATCAACTTGAACCTGCACCTCCTGCCTCAAGTCATGTCCTCCAGAATCTACTACCTACTCCACTATATTACTATATCATACACATTTTCAGCGTCTCAGATCTGCTGAGCTGTTTGCATGGCCTGAGGATTGCTGGAGCAACTCAGTTTGCAGGAAAGCTTCATGCATGGCTGCATCCAGTCGACCTCACATGGCAGAGAGAACCATCCGAATCGGCTGCGAGCGCAGAAAGCAGAAGACCTGCTTGAATGCATGGAAAAAAAAATCGAGTCCAACAAACTGCACTGCTAAAGTCTCCTCCCTCACCTTCTGCGAAGTGTCGGGATTGCGCCAGCTGCGTGGGAAGATGTCGACCTGGGCAAGAAATCCCATCCATCTCTTTAAGCATCAATAGATCAAAACAATATACAGTCTGAGCACTTTCGGTTTTTGACCATCAGCATTAGGTCTGTCAGCACCCTCAACCAGAGCCGAGTAAGGTCCAAGCGTACGAAAGCAGCGCACAGCTCCCCGCACTCTCCATGGCCATCTGCCACTCCTTGCTCATGCAGCAATGGCAAACTGAATAAACCCTAGAAAAATCTGACACGCTCAGTGTTGAACCATACAAGGCCACGCTGTCAACACCTCCCAAGCGGACACCAAAGGTGACCCCCATGTCTTCCACAACAAAGTAGGAGTCCTGCTGGCAGTAAGGCTGGTATCCTACATGATTGAAAAGTGGCACATAGGGAACACAGCAAGTCGCCTACCAAGCAACCTCGTGCATCCAAGGCATCCTTGCAACCGGCCTGCTGTTTAGCATTCTTTGGGAACTGTCTGTTTTGGAACTGGGCCTCAGCTAAGCCAGAGTTGAACATCATTTTAAACAAGGATGCCCCCATACGCGGCTCAGCTGTTCTGAGACTCTGTCGACGCCACAGGTGGCGAAATCTTCACATGGCACACTTTCCTGCCACCGTCTCAAACGGATGGATCCATTCGATGAAACATGAAGCTCGCTGAAACGCACAATGCTACCCCACAATCATCTGCACTCACTTTGTACCTTCAGAATTCACATCCAAAGCTTGAATGTGTGGCCTCCGGTGCCATGGACCTATCATCAGTCCTGCAAAGTCCCGCACTAACCAGACCATTGTCAAGTCTGCTTTCATCACAACCGATAGTGATTCTACTTTTAGGTGGGAAGCACAGCAATAAGGGCTGCATGCTGGCACACAAGGCATTCTTTGTTCTGCAAGAAAACTCTCCTGCTCAGCGCCAGCAGCGCTTGCTCCCACCCTCATGACGGGCTTCTTCTGGAGCCAAAGCATGGGTCGCACAGCAAGCAGAATTATCAAAAGCTTTCTCATTGAAATCGACTCCTAGAGAACTCACCAGCAAGCCTCTATATGGGAGAATCCTATTTATCGGCAGTGCTTGAATAGTCACCTGGGCATTGGTTGCTACCATGCGCATGTTTCTCGCTTGTCATTGTATCATATGAGCACTTTCTCGGCGAGAATCAAACAATATATCATTGGACGAAAGCATGCAGCGAACCAACATCTTTTCCCCATTAAATTCAGGGCTCTATGTTTGCCAAAGCAAGCAACAGTTTCTCAGAATTGGTCCTCAAGAAAGGGGAACGTCCTGACTTTTGTGAATTGAACCCACGACAATTGACGTACGACATCCATATGTCCCACGCTTTAACAATCGTCATCCTAAGTGAAATCTCTTGAGGACGCCCGTGCCATGAGCAGCCCACTGGGGCACTTGCGCCAAGGCATTCCAAATATTCTTCGCTCAACCATTCTTAACAAGGCTTGGGCGTGGGTTTGGCCATTGATGTGTCCAAAGATAAATTGCATTTTCGGGTGAATTTGTGGCCTTCATTTTGGGGTCCAAAAACACAAGCAAAACCGGTCTCGCCACGGAGGGCCTCCCCAGTAAGTCGTGCAGTGCCCATGTGAAACAGGCTCAGGATGGTATTTGCTGTACACTTTGCACACGGCTGGCAGGGCAGTCGCCCACTTCCTAGACAAGGACTCAGGTCCCCGCCTGGGATCCAGCCAATTGGGCATGCAACACGATTGTATGCAGCCTCACTCTGTCCGTGCACAGGGGTTCCCTTGAAGTTGCTATCGGCTCACATGTAGTGGAACAGAGAGCTCAGCAAGGGAACTCAACACCGTGTTTTGAACCCGTCTTGCCAGACATGGTTGTACCAATGTCAGTTTGCGGCGTTTTGCAGCTGCAATCAGTGCAACCTGGCAGCACTGGATTCAAGCTCATGGAGTGCAAGGAGGATGTTCAGAAGAGAGAGAAGGTGAATCCCTGAGCATCATGGCTTTTGAGCCTGGCTGCTGAGCTGCAAGCTGCCAGCTGCTTGCCAACTTGTTTGTGGTTCTCTTGAACCCTTGCAGATTTGGGTCGTGACCCCTTGGAGCTCACCAAGATGGCGATTCTGACTTCAACTTTGCCAAGTTTTTTTGGCACGGGTGGGGACGCCATGTGTGCAGAGAATGCACAGGTCATCTTGCGCTACTTGTGATTGAGTCTTCGGCCAGGAAAGAAAAGACTTCAATTTTTCGAAGTTTAAATGCCTTCTGCGCAATTTGTTGCCAAGGCGTCTCTCTCTTGAACAGCCTTTTCGTGAGCCACAGTTGCCTGAGCCAACCGTTGCTGGAAATGCTCTCGCTGCTCTTCCAACCGTTTCATCGCATTGTCTTGCTCTTGAGCCATTTGCTAAACATTTTGCACGGCTAACTCCGCAACTTTTGTTGCTGCGATGGATTCGGAAGTTTCCCCTTCATACACCTGTCTAAAACGCAATGCTTTGAGGTCTGCAATTGAATGGTGATCTGCCAACTCCTCACACTTGCCTTTTCATTTTCCCTTTGTTGTTTGCCCTTTCCTTTCCACCTTTTTCTTCCATCACTCTTTCTACCCGAAGAACCCACGAGCCAGAGCCCATTCCTTCGTCAGCATGGTCACACGACACGTGGAAACCAATAGGAGGGTGCAAATTTTCGAGCAACACGTTTGATTTGCGGTTTCGCTTTGGAATTCCTAAGTCAATCAACCTCCTCCCTCCCGATGGATATGATGAACAAGAGGCGCTGCAGTGATACCCCTGTTGAGCCTCTCTGCCCATCGCACGCCAAGACTGCAACTACAAGAGAAACTCTGCACGCGATTGAGAATTCCGTCCTGTATTTGTTTCACCAGTACAAGGGCGCTGCATGATGCACTGAATGACAGCCTGTCCACTCTTGTCTCGATGTCTCAACAAGGTTGCCGCTGAATGTCCATGATTATTTGCAGAAGAGGGCTGCCCTCGCTGACCAGCTGTTCAGAGGCACCATAGCGAGGCAGCAAGGAGCACCAACCATCTCATTGACAGCCAAATTCACTGAACAGCTCCGTACTGTTGGCAATGGATTGCCCTTTCGTTTCGCGCGTTGGAGCCGATTTTCTCACCAGTGGTTTTCCAGAGTCATGCATTATGAGCATTAGAGGACAGAAACGCACCAAAATGTCAACCATGCCTCCTGACTTGCCAGTTAAAGTCGGTCTGATCTGATTCGATCCATTATCGCGGACAGTCCCCTCAAACAATGGAACAGTCACCGCGCTGCTGCGGGAATGTGACCAAGAGTGGCTGACCAGATCGCACTCTCGCCTGCATTTCGCGCATCACAAGCAGCACAAGCTGACCTGTGCATTCTCTGCACACATGGCGGCTCCGTGCAAAAGACTCGCCTGCATTTCGCGCACTCGACACGCACGATCTGTGAGGGTTGCCCGCAACTGGGGCAAATCGCACTCTCGCCTGCATTTTGCGCTCTCAGCACGCACGATCTCCGCAGAGGGTTGGCCCGCGACAAACCAGCTCCACTCTCGCCTGCATTTCGCGCACTCGACACGCACGATCTCCGCAGCGGGTTGCCCGCGACAAAGCCAAATCGCACTCTCGCCTGCATTTCGCGCCCTCGACACGGACGATCCGCAGAGGGTTGGCCGCGACAAAACCATCAGGACAGCTGCGAAGGCATATGTCCTGTCACACCAAGCTGGAACGACGGCCCGAGGGATGGTATGCTTCTGTTTTCAGTGCTTGTGCCATATAATGCCTGTGAAGGGGGGCTGCCTGCCCAGGGCAGGTGCTAAGGCACCCGTCTTGGTTCCTTGCCGCACTGCCTTGGGGTTAGGGGAATTCCGTATGAAACTCCTCGTCGAAGGCGTCCGAATCTGGTCCTTCGGTGGGAAGCAGCTCTACCCAAGGTGGTTTTTCTTTTTTTTTAATACTCTATCTGATATTCAATATGGGGTCCTGGACATTCAGGTGAACTTTCATCACCAAGACAGCCTCATGAATGTATATTTGCTGCGCTTCTTTGCACTGGCAGAAAATTATCCAAGATGCGCGGCAGTAGTTCCAGGATGGCAGGATGGTTTCAACTCACTAAGATGAGAGTGCAGTATCAAGAACGCTGGATCAATGTCTGCACGCAGCAGTGCGTTGCGATCAATGATCGAGGCATTAGTGTCTACGGCTCCAACAAAGGCTATCGATGGCGACTCGTCCATCACATACTATACCATGAACAGCCGCTATTAGCACTCATGGAGAGCAAAGTCGATCCCTTTTCAAGATCGCCGATCGGTTGGCCGCCATGCGGCCAGCCGTTATGTCATGGATAACCCACCAACCTGGTGTACAGTTAGAGCCAGCGAGCGAAGCCGTGCGGATCCCTTCCGCTTCTTCGAACAGCTCGAACAACAATTGACTTGGGATGCCTACAACTTTCTGCAACCAATCCTTGGGTTCCGCTCGGCCATTTGGCTACATGATGGATTTTGGGTCAGTCCCGGTCCTACTGACGCTCATCTGACTTTACTCCATAGTTTCGTGTGTCGACAATATTGCTTCTCCCTTGCTGATCCACCATTGTTCAGGAGCGAACAACTCCGCCTGAAACGGACTGAACTTCTTGCAGAACTCGACAGCCAAATCACTTCCTCTGCTGGTATCTTTGGCGGTGTTGCTGGAGTGGTATCACTACCTCCCCAAATAGTCGTCAGACGAAAACGCACGTATCAAGGTGCTAGCAACCAGGATCAGCTTTCTTTAGAAGAGCGGTTGACCAAGAGAGCGCGGGTAGTCCCAAGTGCCAAGAAGCGTCGCCTGAGATAAGCAGAAGCGTGAGAGCCTAGTGTCGATCCATGACGGAGATATCAACAAGCCGGCATGGTACTCACCAGCGCATGGACAGGGCCTTGCCCGCCAAATCCTGCCCATCGATGGTAGGCTGGAGTTGCACCTTTATGTATGGTTGTCTATTTTTAGTTCCCCCAGTAAGGCCCAATATGGACACCCGTCTATTGTCCCAATTTCACGGGTAGTGCACGCCCGCTGCCTTTCCCTCTGGCTCAAACCTCCTGCAAGGGGACATAGACACACACTATCCCTGCTCTTGATGGCGGCAAACGTTTGCAGTACGGATGACAAAACCTGTTTTCTCGCGCGACATGAAGTCGCGACCACAGGGGGTTGTCCTTCTGTCGTGCATGCTGATTGACCTCCCGGCAGAACTGCTTGCCACTTCCTACCCTACCACGAGCTGGGCCTTTGATAGTGCGCCGACAATGACCCTCCAGCAATGGGAAAAGTGGCGACAGACACACACATGCCGTGTCGTTATGACCGCCTGGTCAGATGAGACAGCGCAAGCCCTGTGGCCCAAGAGCCCAGTGCCTCGGGTGCAATGGCCAAACCTGCCCAATATGGAATCCGGCATTATGAAATGGCTTATG